CACATGAAACATAGGGACTTGGGGGAAGGAGGTGAGGAGAGTAGCATAAAAAAATATTTTCTATTCTCTAACCAAACACTAGAAAATATTTTCCGGAAAAAAGTTTTCACTCACCAACCAAACAAGTAAAAATAAGTGATAAAACCAGTCATTTTCTAGGAAAACATTCTACATGAAAACATTTTCATTCGTACCAAACACACCCTAAGTTAAGCTTTTATTTCTCATTAATCGATAAATATACCTACCCTCTTGGTTCTGGTTGTTATTTCTTCACGTACATTCATTCATTTTCTTTTTTATTATGACGATTTTATTTTGATTTTTCTGAGTCAATTAATAATATTTCATATTGAAACAAAACTTTAAAGAAATTAATCCTTAAAAAGATTACTTTATAGCTTTGCATTCAAAAAGTTAGAAAAGTGAACTTTAAATAAAAATATACATGAATTTTATTTAAAAAATTATAGTATCTTTTAGACCGATTATATTGAGTCGGCCCTAAAATTTAGAACCTATGTGAGACTAGTAGTTGAAAGTCAAGGATTTTAAGATGGTCCAAGAGTACAACATATTTGGTGAAATCTCAATCTCTCTCTCTATCTCTCTCTCTTTGAAGCACAACAAAGGCCAAAAAGATGCAAATGCAACTACGAAGAGATCGAGCTCTGCAATAAAGGAAAGGAAAAAAAACTAGGAAGAGCTTAAGAGCAGTGATGAAAAGAGTATGGTCCTTGGTGGATGGTTCAAGTTATTCACATGATATATAACCTGAATGTTCACACACTCCACATATAGAAGCTATTAGTTGGGTGATAGACGCTTCCACAGCTGGAGGATATAAAGGCATCTTAATTAATTCCACCTGCGCCAAGAATTAGATAGAAGCCACCAGTAAACCAGTTTGAGTGGAAATCTTGGGCAGCTGCCAAAGAGAATGGGTTAAAGTTTGCCAACAAAGGCCAGATAGAAGTAAGCATTTTAATTCTTGTATTCTCTTACTTCCACATCTGGGAAATTTTTTTCTATTGTTGCTTCCTAGTTCCTAGCTAGGGGAGAAGACAAGAGAGCGGATTCTCAGCTATCCTAAGTGGCAATCCTATTTTTGTTGCTTTAGCATGCGTCTTCTTCTGCTGCATCTTTTTCGGAAGATGAAGTAGGTAGTTCACTTATATAATTACTAGTACATGTTAATTATAGTAATTGATATTCTACAAATTTAAAATTTTCAAAAATTTATTATCAAGTTAAAGAAAAGTATCACAATGGGACTCTTAACAATTTATTTTGTCATTATCTTTCTGTTAAATTAGTTTTCATCTCGTTAAACCTTATTGTTTACCCATAAAACAGTATAATTGAATTTATACGTTATTTCTAGACAAGTGAATTAATTTGATCCTTAAATAATGAAATAATTAAAGAAATGCACAATACTTAACCTTGAAATTATGATAAAATCACGAAGAACAATGATTTGAGAGTAGAGCTTCCGGGCACAACAGTGATGAAACCAAGTAACAAGAAAGTAAAATTGTATAAAGCTTTTTATTGATTATAGCGTAAGTTTGCCGGGAAAATCGTGTCTTCCACAATGATAACAAAGATCACTATTTATAGTTGCACCTAGGGAATAAGGTCCTAGGATCATGCCTTCTTTAATGTCAATTATGAGGGTCATTGAAGAAGGTGTAACGGTGAACATAAATTCTTTGTAACGGGCAACGCACTAAATGCTGTGGAATATTCTCCATTAAATGCTACTGGGCGGAGTGTATTTATTGCAATTTTTATGAGCGTTATTGATGATAGGCTATAATTACATATTTTAGTCGCTTATTACACTCTAACTTACTGCACTTTAATTAAGTTTGAGCTTTAATCGCTAGTGTTTTGCACTAATTGTGTGTTTTATGCCTTGTAGGAGTGATTTCGAGCTATGTAGATGTTAGAGAATGAATTCAAGTGATTTGGAGCTTTGAAATCTGAGTAAAAGCCCAAGGAATTAAGGCGGGATCGTGTTCGGGGATCAAATTTGATAGTTAAGAACGAACGAAGAATCGAGTAGGTATATTGTGCACTGTCTAGTAAAATCACATAACTTTTCGCTAAGAACTCCATTTGGTCTCCACAATATATGGTTGGAAAGTAATTCAAAGAGCTACAACTTTCATGTTTTACATTTTTCCAAATTCCACACAGAACAGAGTAAAAAATGCGGTCGAATCCTAGGCCGCGGATCTAGCCGCGGATGTGAGGCGGAACACTGGGTAAAATCCGCGGCCAAATTCGCGGTTGAATCCGCGGCCGCGGACGTTCTGACCTGGAAAAGTGTCCTTTTTGCGTAGGAGAAGGTATAATTGTCTGGGCCCAACCCTACTTGGTATATATACATGGAAAATGGTATTTTGAGAACTTTTGACATACCTTTGACATACTTTTGACATAATTTAGACCTAAGGAGGCTAAGGAGACTAGGGATTCGACCTAAGGAGGCAAGAACACACTAGGAGAAAGGCGGAGAATTCTTCTACAAGTTTCTCACATCCTTCTTCCTATTTCCATTATTTGTTATGAATTCTAGTATTGTAGTTATGCATATTATTATGAATAGCTAATTTGTTATCTAGGGTTTTGATGGAACCTTTTGGAGGATGAATTCGTGTTATGTTTTAATATAATTGAGCCGTTAAATTTCTCTACTTGTTCAACTATGTGTTTGTTACTGTTGATTGAATGGCCATCAATTGACTTTGCCTATTTAGTATGTACTGCTTGAGAGAGTATATATTTAGGTTGTTGTTGAACAACATCACTCTTAACATATGTGAGAGATCAATACAGAGGGTTTAAAGGCGGGATTAAAGATAACGAAACCTTGGTGCGATCGTAGTGAGCGGTGAAATAAGTTTCAGCCAGTGTAGTTCGAGAGAATACATCTAGTAAATTGCGGTAATTGCTCGAGAGAGAATTACGACAACCAAAGTACTCACGATCGGTAGAGAATATTTAAGCGAAATTATAGAAGACACAACGGGAAGGATTCCGACAATTGGGGAAATCATAACTCCAGACCTCCTTAGTCTTGTCTTCAATCCTTATCCTTGTTAATTGATAGTTGTACTGCTTTCTAGTATTTGTTAGTTAATTAGATAAAAATAAACATTTTAATCTTTATAATTAAAAAATTATTTGGACTTGTATTTCTTAGCAATATTGAACAATTATAGCTAAGCCTTAGTTCTCTGTGGGATTTGACTTCGGACTCTTAGACCGGATTATATTTGTAGCGACCGCTTATCTTTTTTAGGACTAGAGTTGGGCGTGATCAGTTATTCTTTCCGGTGACAGACAATATAATTGCCTTCGATTTTAGCTATGCCAGTCTTAGGTTCCACTTGTCCCTATTTTGGAAAGCCACTTAGCCTAACATATTTTATCCTATATACTTATCATCTTTAGAAGTATACTTTATGTCAACTGTTGTTTCAATAAAGTGGACGAAACAGAGTACTCTACGCACTTTTCCCTTCTATCGCCCCTATAGCATTGGGTACATACTGTTCTTTCAGCTAAATTTGAACATGTCACAACTTACGCTTTTGAATATTGATCCTGAGACAATGACACAGCAAAAGAGAATTTTTTATGGCATAGTATCACCTGAAAAGTCTGGAATTTTATTATAGTAGAGAGAAGAGAAGCATAATACCTAATACAGATAACTACCAACATTTCCTTGTTTCAACATACAAAACACTGAATACATAGATAATTTTTATTGACTAATAACTAGTAAAATGGCATGAATCTTGAAAAGCACTCTACTTAATCATCAGTGTTTGCAATGGAACAAACAGTAGGATCGAAGAGATCGATGCCAACTTATTTACTATAACTTGTAATAAGGGATGAATATGGAGCAGGTGACAGAAGCAGTCTACTCAATCATCGGAGTGTTTGCGATGGTGGCGCTGCTTATTGCGATGTTTCTTCTCCTCGTCATCCTCATCGTCGTCATCACCCTGCCAATTTATCAGATCAAATCAATGGAAGAATAAAAATCTAAGTCGCATGTTACTGAACAAAGACAAGTACATTCCGTTTGTAATCAAGTATTACTTACATATTTCTTGCGACCATAATCTTCATCATCCTCGTCACGCCTCCCATAACTAGGCTTCTTGTAGTCCTCTTCCTCGGACCTTCCATAACTAGGCCTCTCAATTGTTGACCTCCCGTACCCTTCGCTCTCTGTCGTCTCGTAGCTTGAACGGCCATAATTTGTTGATTTACCTCCATAACCATACCCACTCTCCTCTTCCTCCCCGTAGTTTTTCTTCTTCCCGTTTCCACCAAATCCATATTCATCAGAGTCGGTCTTTCGCCCATAAGCCGACCCGTATTCTGAGTTTTTCTCCTCCTCATCATCACTTTTTCTTCTATACCCGGATCCAGGTTTACTCCTATATCCACCAGATTCATTTTCATCAGAATCGGTCTTTCGTCCGTAACCAGACCCGTATTCCGAACTCTTCTCCTCGTATTCACTTTTCTTTCCATATCCGGATGCAGGTTTACTCCCATATCCGGTAGACACATACTCATCAGAGTTCGTCTTTCGTTCATAACCAGATCCATATTCCGAGCTTTTCTCTTCGTACTCATTTTTTTTTCCATATCCTGATCCGTACTCATCAGAATCAGTTTTTCGTCCATAACCAGAGCCATATTCTGAACTTTTCTCTTCATACTCACTTTTCCTTGTATACCCTGATCCATATTCATTAGAGTCAGTCTTTCGTCCATAACCAGACTCGTATTCTGAGCTTTTCTCCTCGTACTCGCTTTTCTTTCCGTGCCTTGATCCATACTCGTCAGACACAGTTTTTCCTCCATAGCCAGACCCGTATTCAGAACTTTTCTCCTCATACTCGCTTTTCCTTCCATAACCTGATCCATACTCAGATGTGGGTTCTTCATCATATTTACTCTTCCTCCCATTCCCAGCAGATCCGTAATCGGAACTTGGCTTCTCGTATTCACTCTTCCGCCCATAACCTGATCCATATTCTGAATCGGGCTCACTCTTTCGACCGTATCCAGATCCATATTCGGATTTGAGCTCCTCATCCTCGTCGCTCTTCCGTCCATATCCCTTTTTGGGTTTCTCGTACTCAGTCCGGCTTCCATACCCGGTTTCATCAGATTCAATTCCACTCCCACCATCGCTAGGACGATTCATCCCGGGCTTGCGCTGAGGCTTCTCATCTTCATCATCCTCTTCCTTAGATGGGCGGGAACGCGAGGGACGAGGCTTGGTCTTGGGCTTGGAATAGCTTTGGTACTCATTATCAAGAGCTTCATCAGCATAGGCAGATGGCTCTGCAGAGGAAGAGTAATGGGGACGATCGTAGTCAAAGTCGGCGGAGGCGGAAGACGTCGGAGGATAGCAAGTCTCCTCTGAAGGCGGAATTGGGCGGCCGTATGTCAAGGAAATATCGTAACCGCCACCATAGGGAGTGTGATCATACTCATCGAATTCAGGGACATCGTCATTGTCGCGGTGACCTTTTGGGTAGTAAGACATGGTTTGTGGTTAATTAATTTCTAGATTCTTCTTCTGTAGCTTAATTTCTTCTTTGATTTCACAAGAAAAATGAGCAGTAAGTTGAAACATAAAAGGAGGGAAAGACAGTTAGGAGTCGTTGGACTCGGAAACGAGGTTGTTACTCCTATTTGTTTAGAGGAGTTGTTATCCAGTACACGTGTGCCTTCTGAAATCACTCAAATTAACGGTACAGATTATTTTAGTGATAGATGGTTTCATAATAAACGGTAATCATTATTTGAGTTATTATAAAATCCCACTAAGTACTTATAGATAGTTAATTTCATGGGTGGTTGGTCCATTACTCAAAAGTCGTTTTTCTTTTTTTATTAGGTAAAAGTTATTTAACTTTGTATACATTATCCAAAAGTTATTTTTTTTCCTTTTGTTATACAAAAAATATTTTACTTTGTTCTAGTTACCACAATAGTCACCTTCATCAGATTTTATAATACTTTTACCTGAAAATTATGCCATTGACATTATAAATTCTCTTGTTTATGTAATACCTTCTATATAATATATTTTACATAGGTATATTATTTATAATTGAAATAAATTTATATTATTTTATTTATTATTTTTATAATATATCCGTACATTTAATATTTTTCATGACACTCAATTTGTTTAATCATATTCAAACATGAACATATTTTAAAATATAAATATGACAAAACATATTTATTTTTTAATATTTATTTGAAATAATAAAAATAGATTTTTAATAAATGAGTTTTTTATAGTCAGTAAAACTTTAAAAAATCAAAGATATTTTGTGCTTAATATTAGGTTTTAAAGCTTTATTTGTTAATATTATTTATTTAAAAGTACTAATTTGATGTGCCAGTATTCTAAATATGGGTATTTTATTCATTAGATTAACAAATATGGCTTGGCTGATAAATCTGTGAGTTTTGATTTTATAATTTTTATTAAAAATATTTCATTAGGCATGGTTAAGAACATTAACTTAAGATTTATTCACAATAATGTTATTAACATATTTAAAATGCTACCTATATATCTTGAAAATTAACGTTAAGGAAAAATCATATGTACGAATATTATAAAATTAATAAATAAAATAATATAAAGTTTATTTTCTTGTAAATATCTTGGTATTGACTATATGGAGACATATTCTCCTATGGCATATGAAATCACTTTTGGGTTTTAGTTTGGTAGTACATGAAATACTTTATATGATTATAATAAAAATCCCTGAAGGATTTTAATTGTTCTAAAGCACATAAAGATTCCTGAAAAATTTGTTAAATTAAGCTTCTTCAATGACATATATGATTTGTCTAATGTCTTAGTGCAGTTGGTGCACTTATATTTCTTGCTAGAACTATGAGTATAACAATATGCTGGCAAGATTTAAATTTACTCCTATTTGAAGATACTGGAATGCGATCAACATTATATTGCAAAAGGGAATCATTGATAAAGATTTTTTTATCCTAATAAATATTGTCAAATTTTGTTGGTTATGCAAATTTCTTGAAGTCCGTTCTTCAAATAATCTATTTGCATATGAAGGAGATGTATGACTTTTCTATTTTTAAAAATGGTGCTTGTTTATCTTAATTGAAAGACAATGATGATTGTTTATCTCAATTGAAAGAAGGATATATTGAAGGAGACAGAATAAAGCACATTTCAGCAAAGTTCTTTATGAGACAATCTTCAATAGAATGATGAAATAGATATTCAATAAATTTGTTTGCCTAATATTTTGGTGGATATGTTAAACTTACCAACCTCAACGTTTGAGGAGTTGAGAGACAAAACTGGAACGCATTGTCTTCGATAAATAAAGTAATATTTTTATTAGGTGGAGGCAAATACGCACTATACTCTTTTTTCCTTAGCTAAGGTTTTATCCCACTTGGTTTTACTAACAAGGTTTTTAATGAAGCAACAAGTAATGCGTATTACAAGATGTGTGATATTTTTTCTTCACTGGGATTTCTTTTTCCACAGGTAAAGTTTTAACGAGGCACATTTTTTTGGACATCC